ATTCTAAGTTTTCCTAAATTAATTTTATTAAAGTTTTCTTTATAAAAATATTATTGAATTTTAAACTCTAATGATTTTGAAATTTAAAGATTAACTGAAATGTTAATAACTGCTTTTTTTACATTTGCTGCTGAAATTTTTTTTTTTACTTTTGTAGCTCACCGAGCAGGTATCCAGTTTTAAACAAAATCTTGCAGAATATCTAATTTCCTGAAAACAATAAATTTATTATATATATATATATATATATAAAAAACTCTTTTTTTAAAATTGATTTTCTTTATTTGCTTTGTTAAAAAGGGATGCAAAAAAAAACTTTATAACAAATTATGAAAGAGTTATTCAAAAACCAACATTCCAAATTCGAAAACGTCAATCATGCATAAGTTTAAAATTAAATTTTTAGATTTAAGTACATTATGTAGATGTTGGATTGATGGATAAATTGAAGGATAAAAGTATATTTATTATATTTGCTTACGAAGTTGGTTGTTTTCGATGCTATTCCCATTTCTGTCTCCGCATTGGCTATGATATACCCTTTCAGGTCTGTTTCTATTCAATAATAATATTTGCAAGTTTTATACTTTCTTGAAAATTCACATAACAGTGAATTTTTTTTACTGATTAAAAGATAAATGAAAACCTTTTTTCGCATTTAATAATACCCATTACAATTTAACATCAAAAGATATTTTCTGAGTAATATGATTTTTGCAACATTATAATTCTTTTAACTTCAAAAATCCAAGTTTTGTATTTTAGTTACCTATGGGTGTTCTGAAATCAAGATGAATTAATCCGCTAAACTTATCCTAAATTCAAAGTTTAAAAGAATAGTTAAAATGTCTGCGAAAAAAAATTTGTGTCCAGATTTAATGAATAGTGAGAAAATAGTTGAACTACGTAGACGTGGTTAAACCTCTTCTTCCGGGCGCCCGTTCAAGTAGAAGACAAGTGGTTCAACTTAGTCATCGAATTCAACTACTTCCCGCTATTCAATAGATAAATTAAGTCTTTGACACAAACTCTGATGTTCTATAAATCCCTATACCTTTACAGCCCAATATCGTAGACCTGAGATATTTAAAACTATTAATTCTTTCAGATAATAAAATCTAAATTTAAAGATTTATACAATCAGGTTGCAAAGATATAGGGATAATAAAATTTGAGTTTGTGTCAAAGAGTTAATTTCTTTGGTCCCTAGACTATTAAAAAACGGTTGAATTGTTTAATAATGTTTACTAATGTTTACTAATGTTTACTAATTTAGAACATATATGATGAGATAAAGACAATCTACAGGAGGAGGGGTCCGGACATGCTTCATCATAAGCTCTAAAAAATTAATTTTTGTTTTAATGGTGTTTTCGAAAAAAGTATTTTGGGACGTATGAAATGTATAGGACTGTGAAACTAGATTGCTTCCCATACATGTTTGTAATTTCTTTTATTGTTATAGTTTTGTTTTCAAACAATATTTAGCTTCCCAAATAAAATGTTGAATTGATTAAGTGGTGTTTTTACAAAAAAAAGAATCCGTAGTCTAAACTCTACCCTCCCTATCATTCATGGTCACTTCTTGGTAAATGTTCTTATAGCACGTTCTATAAATAATTATCCTACGTGCTATAATGTCAAATTAGTTGTTTATATATTATATTACAGTGATATAATGTTTATTCAGTTCCCAGATTTTCTGAAAAAGATTAAGATATTTTGGAAAAAAAAAATTTAATTGAAATGAAAAGACCATCGCATCAAGACAACCATTCTATATAATTACCCATAACACAATTGGCCTTTCTAAGATAATAGCTCGGAACATAATATAATCTTAAAAGACGTTAAACTTTTCGAAAAAGAGAAAATTTCTGTCCAAAAACTTTATAGCATTGCGAATCAAAATATTAGTGTTAAAATTAGGTTTATTTACCCCAAGGCACAGCATTTGAATAATCCTTTATTTTTTCTGCAGTTTTTGGCAAAATCACTTTTCCTAGCGTTGTAGCAGTCTAATACAACCTGAAAAAATAGGTGAATAAAATCATATGCAAAATGATCAAATCTAATCATTAATGCAGTTGCAAAAATATTCAGTTAACAGATCAAAAAGCAGCTGTTGCAAAAATGAACAAGATAAACAATCATCATAACTTAAATAATTGCTAATAAATTGGCAAAGATGATTTTATATATTTCATGGTAATCCACCAGAATGAGCATGTAAAGACGACCAGAAAATCCTAAAATATGACGATCCATAGATTAAATGAAGTCTTCTGTTTTCAACATTCTTTTTATGTTTTATTGATGATTTGACAAAGGATTATACAAGATTAAATTTGCAAGGAAACATGGATTTATGGAAAAAGACAGTTTATAATTCCGTCGTCTCTAAATTCTAATCCTTGTTTGTCCTCATTTGACCCTTTAATATTAACAACCAAGCCAGTATATAGAATCGGCCCAGTAAACGCTTGGTTAAAATAAAAATCTTGGATTTCAACCATATTTTTGTACTCCACGTGGTTCAAGTTTATTCTAAACCCTCTAGGTTTTGAGGAATCAATGACAATAGATCCACGGAAGGAATAATTTAATGTTATACAGTTATAATCAGAAAGACCCCTAATTGATTGACAGTTAATCAAGCAATTTTACTCATAAATATATCTAGCAATTTTACTTATAAATATATCTGGCGATTTTACTTATAAATATATCAAGCTGCAATAATACTTATAAATATATCTGGCAATTTTCCTTATAAATATATCTGGCAATTTTACTTATAAATATATCAGGCGATTTTCCTTATAAATATATCTGGCAATTTTACTTCAAAATATATCAGGCGATTTTACTTATAAAAATATCTGGCGATTTTATTTATAGATATATCAGGTAATTTTACTTATAAATATATCTGGCGATTTTATTTATAAATATATCAGGCAATTTTACTTATAAATATATCTGGTAATTTTACTTATAAATATATCTGGNCTTCTAGGCAACCCGATGTTTGAAATTTCAAACTATTTGACTAACCTTCAGTTTGCAGAGATATAGGGATTGAAAATTTGAGATTTTGACAAAAACTAAGTTATAAATTTTTCTAATTGTTTTTATAAATTGCATACTTCCCCAAGATCTCCTTCCTTGCTTACAAAATCAACTCCACTTAATTTCTTAAAGTTCTTTTCAAAATCATCTCCTGTCATTTGTTTCAGCACTTCAGGATCAAATATGTCATTACTTTTTTCATATGTGTACGAGACAACCTAAAAGATATTTATTTAATATTACTAGGCTTTTAGGGCACTACGCGCCCATCTTCTATTTCAATTGTAAATATTTTCACTTTGTATACATTGTATACATTGTAAAACAAAAACAAAAAAGGTTGCGGATTTTTTAAATTTAAGGAAATTCGAATTTTGACCCGATTGGTTCTGCCGTTTTGACGTTTATTGGATACAAACAAACAGACAGCAAAGTTTTATTTATAGATGATTAATCATAATTTATATTTTTATTTCAAACATAAATAATAAGTGTTTTCGAGCTATCTAGTCCATTGTTTACCAAAAGACGAGATTTTATTGGACATGATATGCCAAAAGTTAAATTATGACTACGGTTTAATTTTATGGATCAATTAGCTGAATTACCAGTTTACCCGCGCTTGGTTTTAAATCATGAGTTTAGCAGTGAATGGGGTGCCAGTGGAATTTTTAAAAATCTATAATTAATTTATCCTATGTCCCCCCCTACCCCTGAGTCCCCTAAAAATAAGCCAATTTGGTTCAGCCGTGTGGCCACCTAAAGCAAACATTTAGATTTTTTAAACCTCCCAGAATAAAATACAATATTTTTAATTTATTTGGGGCCGAATTTTATGAATTTGCTGGGTCTCTGATCTGCCGACCACGCGCCATTTCAAATTTAAATCACCGATTCAAATCCTTCCTGAATTTTTAACTTTGAATCGGTGGTTCAAATTTGAACCGACAGCAGGTGGTATAGCGACGTAGCTAAAATTCATTAAATTCAGTCCTTATTTCAAGAAAAACTTCGTTTAAAGAACTTCCAATGCCCATCATTTTATACAGTTAATACAAACCTTATCCATTTCCTCCTATCATAATTTATTTTAAGTATTAATCAAGAAAAAAATGTTTTATTGTATAAAAACATTTTTATAAGATGCTATATTTTTTAATGAGAATTTTTTTTATAAAATTCACAAAAAAGTGCAAGAAAATGTTTTCGAAAAGTACACAATGATTAAAGTGCAATCCTCTCAGACACTTTTTAAGTGGAAATATTAACATTGTTGCGTTCATAATTTGAAAAAGAATATAATTTCAATTAACAAAAATGGAAACACTCCCTTTATGTCAACTGTGTTATATAAAAAATGATTCCTGAGTGGTGGCATTTGCAAACGATATTGGATCATAGATTTGCCACTTTGTTGGATCTTCATTACTATTAGGATTCAAACATCTAAAAAAGATTTTTTAAAATTATTTGAAAATTTAATTTTAAGTAAATTCAAGGGTTTTTATAAAGTGAGAGCCATAAAACTGGGGAAAATAAAATTGCTGATCTAAATATTCCTATTAACTGAGTCCTTGATCAAGTTAATACTACTATATCAACATTAATTACACATATAATGGCTTTAATGTCGTCTTCCTATTTCATTGTTTTATTGATACTGTATGAGGTCTTTTGGTAAGGTTATGCGGAGAAAGCAATTTGCTAAAAAAAATTTAAAACATGATGTTGTCCAGAATTTGTGTATGATATGGCAGTGTGCTCGACAAGGAAGTGTCCAGTATCTGTGTTTGACAGGGTAGTGTCAAGTATCTGTGTTTGGCAAGGTAGTGTCTATAAGTATCTGTCTTTGACAGGGGAGTAGGGGAGTGTCCAGTATGTGTGTTTGACAGGGTAGTGTCTATTATCTGTGTTTTACAGGGTAGTGTCTACATGTGTCTGTGTTTGCCAGGGTAGTGTCTATAAGTATCTGTATTTGCCTGGGTAGTGTCTATAAGTATCTGTGTTTGACAGGGTTGAGTATAGTATCTGTCTTTGACAGGGCAGTGTCCAGTATCTGTGATGACAGGGTAGTTTCTACTGTCTAGTATCTGTGCTTGACAAAGTAGTGTCTAGTATCTGTGTATGACATGGTAGTGTCTAGTGTCTGTATTTGCCAGGGTAGTGTCTATAAGTATCTGTATTTGACAAGGTAGTGTCTATAAGTATCTGTATTTGACAGGGTAGTGTCTAGATGATAAACTTTCTTGTAATAATTTTTTTAACTAATATTGAACCCCTTCTACCTTGGTCTCCTGTTTTAACAGTACACATGAGCAAAGTACAGCAAAATCTACACTCATGACATTCTACAATACCCCGTCTGAATTACACCAGTTAAAAAAACAGCATTGAAATAAACAATGTCTTGATTCCAAAAAATCATCGTATTAATAAATAAAGTTATTTTTTGCCACAATCTCAAGTATTTTTAGCAGTACATTTTGCAAATTAATGTCGCTAATCTTTGCTAGATTAAATGAATCAACAGAATTCGTAGTTTGAATTATGAAATGTCTAGGGGTGGCAAAAAAACAAGGATGAGAAAATTTAAAAAATGAGTTTCTTAAAGTTGTCTTTTATTGCGCTTAATAAAACTAAGGATTAAGGAAAATTAGAGAACAAAATTAAAACCAAAAATTTGCCTGTCCATAAAAATGCCTGCCGCCGAATTTTTCTAAAACTGTGTTTCTAAAACTGTCCTAACACAACATTTGAAGAAACCTCCCATCTTACTGCATTCCTGGGCAAAACTAGAGGATTCATAATTCTTGCAATCAGATTGGCAAATTCTTGCATCATCACCTAGAGGAGAAGGAAAATATTAGATTTTTTTTGTATTTCTTAAAGGAACCGGAAGCGTAATTTTAAGTGACTCTCCATGCAAAATATGCACAAAAGTACCTTAAAGCTTTGTCTGATCCAGTATAATGTGTGTTTCTGTAAACTGTTTAGTTTCAAGGGTACTTTTGTAAATCGGACATTGACAACTTTGCAGTGAGAAAGTTAAGCTAATTACATATTCTCAGCATATGTTAGGATTTAATATTGTTATACAAGGAACCCTTTGGCCGCTTATCAGAAGGAATATTTTTTGACAGCTGACCGAATTTCTTTTCCAGTCAATGTCTTATATCAAGCATATTTTTTTCAAGAAAACAAAGTAATGCCTATTAAAAATGCCTATTACATTTCTTAATGGTTCATGTACAATGTACATACTATGTACAGGGTGTCCCAAAAAACACGGGAATTCAGTGACGAATTGGATATCATCTTTGTTATGAATTAGCATTGTAATACCTAATTTCAAAAGCCATAACATTAGTATGTCTGCTAGAGCTTATTTTATGAAAAAGGTAAATGGCTGTAAAGATGTGTCTATAATGTCTCTAAAGATGAACATTGAAGACGGACCAGTTTACTGTGTTTGTATACTTTAATACTGTAGTTTTCTTGTTTTACTAAGTACAACCTTATGCAGTCAAAACATAAACAAACAAATTTTAAACATAGAAGACGAAATTCTTACTGATTATAGCTTTTTCAGTAGGTATCACTTTACTAAATGGACGAATTTTTTAAATAGACGATATCGAATTCGTCATTGAATTCCCATGTTTATTGGGACACCCTGTAGATAGTTTATGAAAGGAAACTGATGAATTACGTACTTGTATTCAAGCTATGGCACGAAGCATATCCTTTATCTTTTTCTTTGTCGAGCCAGGCTGTCTAAATAATGGTTATATAAAATGATCTTTTTTCGAGTTAATTTACATTTACCCCCTCCCCCCTCTTCTTTATCTTCCTCAGTAGTTTGGTTTTGTTTGTGCTAGCTTAATATATGTACTTAATTTTTGAAACTTTGTTTGTGATCTAAAATAATAAAAAATTGTAAACTTCCCCCCAAAAAACTAACTTTAAAAATCTAAATGTAAGACGACATAAAAAAGTCGACCAACCGACTGAAATGTTTAAGCTAATTTAAAATTCTTGTGTTTCAACGAGTTCCCCAATCAATCAACTTCCTTCCATGATATGTTTACTTCTTTAGCTGAACCAAATAGAATAAAATCATATAATTTTGAGCGGGTTCTCTTTAAACGCTAGAATCTTTTCCCTCCACTTTGTCTCCAAAAATATGGAATTCGATTGAATTGGGGCTTACAGAAACTAAATCTGCAAAATCGTTTAAAAGAAAAGTCGCCAAGATTTGTTTAGAAAGTTATGTAAGTCATATCTGTAAAATAAAATGAGTATCATGTGAATAAACTTAATCATTACTATCTTCTTCACCCTCCCTTTCCCTTTTACTTCTTCACCATCATTGTAATGTTTAAAATAGGTTAGACGGGTCCAATCCACATAGTAAATTGTAATTTTTATCTGTATTATCTCGTGCTTTGTGGTTGAATAATATTGATATGAATATAATTTAGGAGAAAAAAACCAAATAAATTCCGTTCAGTCGTCTCTGAAGTCTCATCCATTGTGGGTAACCCTGTGTGTTAAGAAAGCTGAACCAAAGATGTTAAAAGCAAACCTGATTTTTCAAATAGTTGACAGACATGTTTATCATTTGCTCGTAATATTCATAGCATTCATGTTTATAGAAGCAGCAGGTTGCTATCTTTTCCTTCTTACAGTACACCAGTTCTCCTGCCTGGTTAAAGAAACAAATAACAAATTCGCAAACTTTTTTTGTTAAATTTTTCAAATCATTGCAATAATAAAATGATTTAAAAATAAGAATGTTTTCGCAAAAATTGTTTTTAAATTACAAAATAGCGTAGAACCTGTCTAAACAAAGGGAGTTTGTATTCAATTATGGCCTCTTTTTTTTCTGTTACTCGGAAAAAGTCTGTCTTTTGATCTGTCTTTTGGCTAAACACTAGACAGAAGACACTGACTAGTGGTTAATATACTATACTGAATACACCAACTCCTTAAATTTTTGCAACCTGATGCTGAGAACCTTTCATATTTTAAACTTTCTAGGAAATTACATTCGTCGTCGTATACATCAATACAATAAAGACGATTTTCTATTTTAATTTAGATTTTTACAAAGATTTCAAACAGCAGAACAGCTTAAACATTTTTAAAAACAGGGAAGTATTCAATTAACAGGTTCTCTTTGTATACTTGTAAACTTGTAAAATGAAAAATATTTATTAGAGCTCAAAGCATCTTTTATAAAAAGTCGTCTTCATTGTACTGATATAATCGCCTACCACTGTACTTAAACATTATCTTGTAACTCATTGAATTCTAAAATACTGAATTGTTGAAATTTTACCTTTCTTGTGACTACACATCTTTTTCCTAATTCTGTCGCTAGTTTTCTTTTGCACTCATCAAATATCTAAATAAAACGATTTAAAGAATAATTTTTATTTGAATTTTCTCAGGACAACTGTTTAAAGAAGCAAAGGGGAACACCTCTGTTAAATATAAAACAATCTTTTTAAATTTTGTTGACAAAACATTAATAACTTTGCTAAAAATCAAGTTATTACTGAAGAACTGTCTATAGATTACCTGAGAATCACTATAAGATATCACTGAAGAACCATCAATAGATTACCTGAGAATCACTATAAGATATCAGTGAAGAACTATCTATAGATTACCTGAGACTCACTATAAGATATCAGTGAAGAACCATCTATAGATTACCTGAGAATCACTAAGATATCAGTGAAGAACCATCTATAGATTACCAGAGAATCACTATAAGATATCACTGAAGAACCATCTATAGATTACCTGAGAATCACTAAGATATCAGTGAAGAACTATAGATTACCTGAGAATCACATAAGATATCACTGAAGAACTGTCTATAGATTACCTGAGAATCACTATAAGATATCACTGAAGAACCATCTATAGATTACCTGAGAATCACTATAAGATATCAGAGAAGAACTGTCTATAGATTACCTGAGAATCACTATAAGATATCACTGAAGAACCATCTATAGATTACCTGAGAATCACTATAAGATATCAGAGAAGAACCATCTATAGATTACCTGAGACTCACTATAAGATATCACTGAAGAACTGTCTATAGATTAACTGAGAATCACTATAAGATATCAGTGAAGAACCATCTATAGACTACCTGAGAATCACTATAAGATATCACCAAAGAACCATCAATAGATTACCTGAGAATCACTATAAGATATCACTGAAGAACTATCTATAGATTACCTGAGAATCACTATAAGATATCATTGAAGAACTATCTATAGATTACCTGAGAATCACTATAAGATATCACTGAAGAACTATCTATAGATTAACTGAGAATCACTATAAGATATCAGAGAAGAACCATCTATAGATTACCTGAGAATCACTATAAGATATCACTGAAGAACCATCTATAGATTACCTGAGATTCACTTTAAGATATTACTGAAGGACCATCTATAGATTACCTGAGAATCACAATAAGATATCACTGAAGAACTGTCTATAGATTACCTGAGCATCACTAAGATATCAGTGAAGAACTATCTATAGATTACCAGAGAATCACTATAAGATATCACTGAAGAACTGTCTATAGATTACCTGAGCATCACTAAGATATCAGTGAAGAACTACCTATAGATTACCTGAGAATCACTATAAGATATCACTGAAGAACTGTCTATAGATTACCTGAGAATCACTATAAGATATCACTGAAGAACTGTCTATAGATTACCTGAGAATCCCTATAAGATATCAGTGAAGAACTATCTGTATTCTATAGATTACCTGAGATTCACTAAGATCTCCAGATACGGAAACGCATCCTCCCTGAAGTAAAACTTGTGTTTTCCGAAAGTAAAAAATCTAAACCACCAAACAAAATGTCGATTTTTATTTCCTATGCTAGATATTCTTTATTTTACCCCCCTAAAACAGTTAACGTTGCTCACTTACATGTTTTTCTTCGCCAGAGCTTATATTTACAATCAGATCTTCTTTAAAGCAGTTACTATCTAGATAATCCTAGTGTTTTATTAAACAATGATCTGTACGAGCTTTAAATTTTCACAGAGGTTGCCATTGTGAATCGAACATGACGCTATACACATGGATTGTAACTCTTAATTACGTTTACAGTCCCTCCTGTATAATCCCCTTTAATTACTTCTTGTATAATCTCCTTTAATCAACTCCTGTATAATCCCCTTTAATTACCTCCTGTATAATTCCCTTTAATTACCTCCTTTATAATCCCCTTTAATTACCTCCTGAATAATCCCGTTTAATTACCTCCTGTACAATTCCCTTCAATTACCTCCTGTATAATTCCCTTTAATTACTTCCTGTATAATTCCCTTATATTACCTCCTGAATAATCCCCTTTAATTACCTCCAGTACAATTCCCTTTTATTACCTCCTGAATAATCCCCTTTAATTACCTCCTGTATAATCATCACTCCAATAATCCGCCTGTCTGCAGTTAACCTGTGTAATCCAAAGGAGAAATAAAACATATATCAACATTTCATTTTTATGATGAAAATTTAAATACTATAAAGTTGTATTATCTTTCATGAAACTGGATCATGCATCCGTCTTATGATCAATTATTCATTCAGAAAGCAAAACATTGAGAGAGAAGGTTTAAATTTTTAATGTACATTTAAATCATGTTTACGAAATAAAATCAGAGATTTCTACCTTCCTATGTAACCGGTGGGGCTAGGCATTTTTTTGATGGGGGTAGGAATTGTAGAAGGAAAGTAATTTTTTTAAAAAGTTTTTATTTATGGTTTGGCTCATTGTAACAACTTACAATAATTATAATGATTATAATTTCACCAAAAACTCTGCGAGGCGCGGATTTTTTTTTTATTGTTGTCTCTTGTAAAGTCGGCTGACTATCTTAAGTCATATAACTTGCGTCTAAAGACCGTCTTCCTATTCCAGAGTTTTCTGGTTATCACTGTAGGATGTTTTTTATATTGGGAATAACTAACTTTTTATATTTTTTAATATAAAGCAAGATTTATTAACTATCAGAATACATTTAAATGTATAATTCAAGGGTGTAAATATGTGAAGTTACCATAACTGAATCGAAGAAGAAAAATATTTAATTAATTAAATCTATTAAATCAAATCAAATATTTTTTTTATTCACACAGAAACATGTGAATATTTCATAAACTTATAAAATATTTATAGAGATTCAATAAGTATTATATGTCACAAGGTGAAGTGCCCGGCGTTGCCCGTGAAACTTAAACAACTTTAACTTTGAAAAAAAAAAATATAATTTTGAAGAAGAAAAAACTTGATTTTTTTTGTCTATGTTACTTCCAGGGCACCCATCGGCTTCCTGAACAAATAGTCAGCCAATTTGATCAAGCCGTTTGTGTAGGGTAGATTCTCTTGCGTAACAATTTCGCGTTTTTGCACGAAATTTTATTTTTGCCAGAAATTTTGCATCATTTTCGTACCAATACGATTCCAGGTTTGCACAAAATTGCGCATACATTCGAAATAAATATTTTTTTTACACGAAATTGCGGATGAATACAAAATAAAAGTCATAATTTTTGCATGATTTTGCGCATGAATACGAAAATAAGTAACATGACATATATTGCACAAATACAGGGTGCCCCATGAAACATGACAGTTGGTGAAACATTTAAAATGTCTTCTTCCATAATTGCTTAAGTTGTTTAATACCAAAGAGAATTATAAGAATATTTAATGGTAATCATATTATAGTAAAATTGATTTCAAAGCAAAATATATTTTTGTAAAAGATTTTATTGAACGAAAAAAAGCAAACAGTCTTTAATATAATAAAGTATAAGGAAGAAGACATTCCAAATCATTTACCAACTGTCATGTTTCGTGGGACACCCTGTATATAAAAGATTTAAATATTTGCACAGTATGATGTGAATTTGTTTCAGTTTTAACTGACAACTAACAACTTCCATATCTTCAATATTTTATTCATAAACAATAATTTCATTATTATCATTTTCTATAGTTTGACACAGTAAAAATGTTGGTTACTTTCTAGAATGAAAATTTGTTATAATAAATATGTTTTGAAAAAAGCCGAAATAGGTGCCATCACTAGATGTTTATCTATGTATTAATCCATATAGATATGTATACATTTCTCTTGTCTGAATGTCTGTTTGTCTGTTTGTCTTATTTGACAACTGCTATGGTTTAAGACACAAAGATGTGAAGTAAGATTTTAAAAAATTCAAAGATTTGGACAACATTTGCTCCAAAGAGGTCCTGGGAAAAGATATAAAGATATTAATTGGTTTGCTGAAACGTAGATTACAACTATATACTATATTGGAGAAGTGTGGGAATAAGTCTAAAATCTATGAAATAACCAGAAAAATGTAGAATTATAGTTGCCTTTTTTTATTGTTTGCTTTAAGATTAAAGTTTGGATATTTTATTTTTTTTTCCTTACTTTTGTTTTGTTTTTATTGTCTTTAATTTTTTTGCCCATGGAATTTTTTTCAAAAAAATTTAGGTTTTTTTTAGTTTTGGCTGTGATGTTTTTATTTTGATCTAACAGTTTTGAACATCAAAGGTGCACACTATATATCAGGTTTCAAAGATAACGGGATTCAATTTTGGTGGCAAAGACTCAGTTCGATTACTTTAAAAATTCCGGAAGACAAAAAAATGAATTAAGCAAGTAAACATATTTATAATGGTATTAAGGGCCTTTAACAGATACCAAACGTTTTTAGAATTAACAAGCAGGACTTCTTGTTAACGCTTCATATAGTTCCAAAAAAATATGACCGCCTTTAGATAACCAACGTGTAATAAACGATTTTTGATTGAAAACGATCAACACCATGTTAACTAGGATTGTGTTATAAAATATTAACGTTAAACTATTTATATATACAAAAATATATACAGGGTTACACAAACAGGACGATATTTTACAGATTATATTCAGCCTTCTTTTTATAGTACAATCATGGTTCCGTGCATCAGATATATTACATTCATGGTTCCCTGCAGCTAATATATTACATTCATGGTTCCCTGCAGCTAATATATTCCATTAATGATTCCCTGCAGCTAATATATTATATTCATGGTTCCCTGCAGCTAATATATTATATTCATGGTTCCCTGCAGCTAATTTATTCGTTTCATGGTTCCCTGCAGCTAATTTATTCGTTTCATGGTTCCCTGCAGCTAATATATTATATTCATGGTTCCCTGCAGCTAATATATTATATTCATGGTTCCCTGCAGCTAATATATTCCATTCATGGTTCCCTGCAACTGATATATTCCATTCATGGTTCCCTGCAGCTGATATATTATATTCATGGTTCCCTGCAGCTAAATTATTCGTTTCATGGTTCCCTGCAGCTGATATATTCCATTCATGGTTCCCTGCAGCTAATGTATTCCATTCATGGTTCCCTGCAGCTTATATATTACATCCAAGGTTCTCTGCTGCTGATATATTACATTCATGGTTCCCTGCAGCTGATATATATCACTCATGGTTCCCTGCAGCTGATATATTACATTCAAGGTTTCCTGCAAATGATAAATTACATTTATGGTTCCCCTGCAGCTGATATAGTAAATACATGGTTCCCTGCAGCTGATATATTACACTCATGGTTCCTTGCAGCTGATATATTACATTCATGGTTCCCTGCAGCTGATATAGTACATTCATGGTTCCCTGCTGCTGATACAGTAAATTCAGGGTTCCCTTCAGCCAAAATATTACATCCATGGTTCCCTACAGCTGATATATTACATTCATGGTTCCCTGCAGCTGATATGTGCATACATGGTTCCCTGCAGCTTATATATTACATTAGTGGTTCCCTGCAGCTGATATATTACATTCCTGGTTTCGTGCAGCTGATATATTCCATTCATGTTTACCTGCAGCTGATATATTACATCCATGGTTCCCTGCAGCTGATATATTACATTCATGGTTCCCTGCAGTTAATATAGTGCAGACATGGTTCCCTGCAGCAAATATATTACATTCATGGTTCCCTGCAGTTGATATAGTACATTCATGGTTCCCTGCTGCTGATATACTACATTCATGGTTCCGTGCAGGTGATATAGTACATTCATGGTTCACTGCAGCAGATATATTACATTCATGGTTCTCTGCAGCTGTTATAGTGCATTCATGGCTCCCTGCAGCAGATTTATTACATTCATGGTTCTCTGCAGCTAATATATTACAATCATGGTTCCCTGCAGCTGATATATTACAATCATGGTTCCCTGCAGCTGATATATTACATTCATGGTTCCCTGCAGCTGATATATTACATTCATGGTTCCCTGCAGCTGATATATTAAATTCATGGTTCCCTGCAGCTGATATATTATATTCATGGTTCCCTGCAGCTGATATATTACATTCATGGTTCCCTGCAGCTGATATATTTCATTTATGGTTTCCTGTAGCAGATATATTACATTCATGGTTCCCAGCAGCTGATATAGTTCATTCATGGTTCCCTGCAGCTAATATATTACATTCATGGTTCCCTGCAGCTGATATATTCCATTCATGGTTCCCTGTAGCTGATATATTACATTTATGGTTCCCTGCAGTTGATATATTCCGTTCATGGTTCCCTGCAGCTGATATATTACATTCATGGTTCCCTGCAGCTGATATATTACATTCATGGTTCCCAGCAGCAGATATATTACATTCATGGTTCCCTGCAGCTGATATATTCCATTCATGGTTCCCTGCGGCTGATATATTACATTTATGGTTCCCTGCAGCTGATATATTACATTCATGGTTCCCTGCAGTTGATATATTCCATTCATGGTTCCCTGCAGCTAATACATTGCATTCATGGTTCCCAGCAGCTGATATATTCTATTCATGGTTCCCTGCAGCTGATATATTACATTTATAGTTCCCTGTAGCTGATATAGTACATTCATTGTTCCCAGCAGCTTATATAGTTCATTCATGGTTCCCTGCAGTTGATATAGTGCTTAAATGGTTCCCTGCAGCTGATATATTTCATTCATGGTTCCCTGTAACAGATTTATTACATTCATGGTTCCCTGCAGTTGATATAGTGCATAAATGGTTCCCTGCAGCTGATATAGTACAGTCATGGTTCCCTGCAGCTGATATAGTTCATTCATGGTTCCCTGCAGTTGATATAGTGCATAAATGGTTCCCTGCAGCTGATATAGTACAGTCATGGTTCCCTGCAGCTGATATAGTGCATAAATGGTTCCCTGCAGCTGATATAGTACAGTCATGGTTCCCTGCAGTCATTCATGGTTCCCTGCAGTTGATATAGTGCATAAATGGTTCCCTGCAGCTGATATAGTACAGTCATGGTTCCCTGCAGCTGATATAGTACAGCTGCAGCTGATAAGTTTTTTACTTCTTTCTTAGATAAATTAATAAACCTTAATAAACCCATCCAGGCCCAGCTAGACTTTAAATAAATTTATTTTTTATGAATTTTTTATTTGTTTCTCAGTTTAGGCCCCTGAAGTTGTGTCTTAGTTTAGGCCCCTAAAGTTATTTCTCAGTTTAGGCCCCTAAAGTTGTTTCTCAGTTTAGGCCCCTGAAGTTGTTTCTTAGTTTAGGCCCCTGAAGTTGTTTCTTAGTTTAGGCCCCTAAAGTTGTTTCTTAGTTTAGGCCCCTGAAGTTGTTTCTTAGTTTAGGCCCCTAAAGTTGTGTCTTAGTTTAGTCCCCTTAAGTTGTTTCTTAGTTTAGTCCCCTGAACACCGGACATTGTTGTTTTTTATAAGTTATCCCCATAGATAAGAGAGTTAAAGAGATCGATTATCAGCTATAATATGCGATATTTTCCACAGCATGTTCTATAGTGTACAAGTAATGTACACGACAAATCAGCAAACATCTGTATTCAGGGATATTTAAGGATCCTTTGGATACGAAACACAAAATCTTGCCGTGAGATGGCACTCTAAAAACCTATCGTAAAAACGTAGCATGTCGTGCCGTGCCAACTTAGGCCAACCCTGTGAAAGGAGATAAGAAGTCTGTATAGTCTGTGGTTATCCTAACATTCTATTAAAGGGAGGATATATATATATATATATATAT